GGTGCGAGTATGTATGTGTGTGGGTATGTGTGGTTGTAGGTGCGAGTGTGGGTATGTGTGGGTGTGTGTATGTGTGTGTGTGTATATATATATACTGTTGTAGGCGCTGACGACATAAAAAGCTCATCAAATTTTTTTAACGTATTTACTTAGGCACAAAGAAATGTCCAATTCGGCAACAGAGGGAAACAGTGAGGAACCCTGGGATAAACATTCGCTGCACAGAGGCTCGAGCAGATTAGATTTCAGAGAAGAAAAATGGTATTCGTGAGAAAGAGGAATTTACCGATTAGAAAGAGTGTTAGATTTTATAACCGAAAATGAACTGGTATTGCTAGTATCTCTGATAAAGTTTGCGCATGATGTTTACACAATACAGAAAGTATCTTCGAATATTTGTTACTGAACTTTTGATTTTATTACTAAACAGTAAAGAGACGGTTCCGAAAGTAAGGTTTTGATTTTTGCATGATGATAAGACTTTCTAAAGGCGTTTCTCAGGGCTCGCGAAAGCACGGTATCACCAAAGTTGACCTCCTCCAACTGTTTTTACTCAGTCTAGTGCTCGAATTTGACGTTCCACGACACGTTTTATCACTGTACATTGTATTTTACCATCTCTCAGCCAAATCTTCGTTTTCCTTTGCAATTATAGGACTACTGAGACTGTACTGGTTTTCTGCTATCTAGAATTGATTTGCGCTATTCGTGTTTGCGGACTTGACGTTGCCTTGTTTTATCATCTTCATCGTAATTTATATGCCGTAATGGACCGCTTCTGTCCTTTGCGCGGGATTTTAACAGACCAGTGGTCGCGCTTTTGTGGGTGTCATCCTTCATTTTTTATCAGAACAATTATGTCGTTTTCTGTGTGTTTCTAGCACATGCCCTATACTAAAAGGCAGTTGCGTGAAAAAAAAAAAAAAAAACGCCTTTCATAGGGTTATTTCTAACAAACTTTTGTTGTCGCAGAATATTTTCCGGAGTTTTCCCAGCTGCTGCTATTTTTTCTGAAAACCCCGCTGTGCTTTTTGTAAAAAATTTTATTCATCTTTTGAGATACGCCTGATGTGGGAAAATGCAGCAGTCACAGTGAGCCCTTGCCCGCAGTAAAGTTAGCTTGCCTCCTGAGAACCGTCACTGGCACCCCAGCGCTTCAGTCCCGTCGAAGACGTAGCGCTCTTTCGTATTTTATTTCCTGCGTCTTCTTTTAACTGGTACTTCTAGCCAACGT